TCTCTTACAAAGAATTTGGGAAGCTAATCCTTAAATCCTTTCTGGACATATAATTTTTTGAACTTTCGCTATTAAAAAAATAAATAAATAAATCAAAGAGCTGCATTGCTTTGGCAGTGCTGCCAGCATGCCCACGCCTTGCTGAGGATGGAAGAAAAGGGGGCTGCTCTCAAAAATACCAGCAGTGCTTCCTCACACAAGACGGGGAGGTGAATCCCGGCTGTTGGCTCCCAGGAGAATGGGAGGGCTGCACAGAAATGATTGCTTATCATTTTTCTCACTGCGTTCAGTCGCTGCTTCATTGGCAAGTTTGGTATCATGCACCAAAATAGCCTAAAAAGTCCTCCTGGGGTGTTTGGCTCCTTTCTGCCAGAAGTGGAAGGTGATGAATGCAGCTGTAACAGCTCGAATCACCCAGCAGCTACACGCATCCTCAACAACATCCTACTGCACTCCTGCAGAACGCGCTTCCAGGGTTGACAGCATTTGCTGGCACCTAAAAAAAAAAGCTCCTGCAGGCCCCCAGCCCTGGCCACAGACACTTGGCTGTGATCTTTGCACGACAGCTTCCAGCTGTGGCTTCAGCCAAAAGGCAGCCAAGGCACACGGTTATGCTCCTGGCAATGGATTTGGGGCTGTTTATGGCAAAGACTTTCAGGCTTGGCTAGGTTTTTTTTTTTTTCCTCCTACTGAGACATTTAACTCCAAGCTAATTGAACACAGTGTTGAACCGCTGCTCTCCCGCTGTGGGCTAGCAGTGACATGGAGGTTTACTTGCTGGCTGGTGCAGGGCAAAACGTCCCAGTTTTTACAACAGTGGCCACATCCTGGGGAAGCAGCTGCAGAGCAGAAGCACAGCTGGGGGTCTATGGGATCGGAGGGAGGCCTCTTACCTGCTCCAAGCTAGCAGCAGCATGTGAGAAAGCAGAGGTATCTTGATGCAGGTACTATTGCCATTTAATAAAAGCATCCTACCCAGACAGCTGCCGCTGAACACTGCCAGGACTGCAGAGGGCTGGCCTAAGCCAGCTCAACACTCAGAGACTTGCTAAGGGAAGCAGCAAGCAGCTTTTTAAGTTCTTTTTCTACATTTAAAAAAAAAAAAAAAAATCTGATTTTACTTCTCTGACAACAACCATATCCTAAGCTTACAGCAAGTCGCTCCTGGCCTTGAGCTAAACCACATGGGGAAAAAAAAAAAAATAAATAAATAAAAACACCAAACCCAGCGTTGTTCCCTACATCCATTCATTTAAATTTTTCCCTTTGCTGGTTCTCCCTCCTCGTGCCAAAGCTGAGGGCTGCACAGGGCTCCAGCACCCACCACCTGCCCATGCTGAGTGGGCAAAGCCAAGGGATAGAGCTGGGCTGGCTCAGCTGGGTACCTGAGAGGGGGCAACGGGGGTCTCCAGCTCCCCATGGCCCCACCAGCACCTCTCCCAGCACACCAGGTGTTCCCTCCACTGCATGAACATCCCCAAGCCTGCATCCTTTCTCCTCAAAGCAGGTGGCCAAGGAGCAACAAGCTGGTGCAGCAGCATTTGGATGTTAACAGCATGGTCACTGGCCCACGGGAGGTGAGTTTTGCCAGTGCTTGGCTGAACCCCTGCACACAGGCTGTGGGCCAGAGATGCTGCAGGGATGCTTTGAGAGGGCAAAGAAGAGAGTGGTAGATGAGGCAAGACCCACCTGGGGCAGCAAAACTGTAAGACAAAGAGCAGGCACTGAGGGGGAGCGGTGAGGTGGGAGAGTGAAAGGCCAAGGGAACCACGGGACACATGCCCAGCACAGTAGCTGCTTCCTCCAGCACCAAGATATCGCTCCCTTAACCACAAAAAGTACAAAACTAAAAAGGGGAGGGTTTGGGTTTTTTCCCCCTCTCTATCAGCAATCAGCCTTCCTTCTCTGCCAGCAGCCAGCTCGTGGTAGGTGCAGGAGCAGCCTCCTGGCCCCACACAGGGCTGAGACCCAAGCCAGCAGACGAAAGGTTTCTACCCAGCCGTTCAACCCAGTCCGTGAGGCTCAGGGGAAAAGCTATTTGGATCCTTCCCAGCTCCACAGCCCTTCCAGCCACAGAAAATATCTTCCCAGGAATGTGAGATACAAGCCTGATAAGCATATGTTTTAAAACAAGATGGGGAGAGGTTTTAAAGCTGTGCCTCAGTTCAGGCTGGGTCTAAGCAGCACCAGGGTAATTTGTTACGATGGGGAATTTTCATTGGTTTATTAACTCCAAAGCTGCAGCGTTACGGCAGTACGAAGCCTTGCCTTCTCAAATCACTTTAGCTTTTCAGCCCCAGAAAACAGCTGCTTGAAATGAAGAGGGGACAGACGTGGAGAAATTGGGTTATGAGGAAATACACTGACTTCATTTCCAACTCAGCGTTGCGTCACTGGCCGTTGACAAGTGCATTTACCAGCCGCAGGCCTCCCACTTAACAGCGCATAGCAACTCCCAACGCAAGGCGCTAGATCCCCACTTTCCCTCACCCTGCCTCCACTGCAGGCAGCTACCACAGCAGCACAGCCAAGACCCCTGCTTGTCACCACCATGGTCCTTCCCTGCCACCAAGTCTGGTTTAACATCTCCTCCCCGGTGCCTGGCAAAGCAGCAAGACTTGCCCTTTTCCCTGAGAAACTGAAGGCAGCAATGCATTTTTGGGAAGCGTGGTGCAGCCAGCAGCAAAACCACTTCTCTTGAAGCCCACTGGAGAGATGAACAGAACAAAATCCTGCATCTCAAGAGCTTATGAACTGACGCTTTCCTACAAAAGGCTGAAGGGAGACTTCCCATCAGAGGCTCGGCCATGCAGAAGATCCATAGAAGCATGTAACCTAGGCACAGAACCACAGAAATACAGACTAGTTTGGGTTGGAAGGGACCTTTAGAGGTCATCTAGTCCAACCCCCCTGCAGTGAGCAGGGACATCTTTAGCTGGATCAGGTTGCTCAGAGCCCCGTCCAACCTGACCTTGAATGTTTCCAGGGATGGGGCTTCTACCACCTCTCTGGGCAGCCTGTGCCAGAGTTTCGCCACCCTGGTGTGTCATGTTTGCACACACATGCCAATCAGCCCGGAGTACAGACAGGCTGGCACACCATTTGCTGTAAGCCATTCAACCCAACAGCGAGGCTGCGCTCATCATGCCTTTAAGCACTTGCTTTTCAAAGCAGCACCTCATCATTTGTACGTGTACTGCCACGCTGCAGTTAGCTCCAGGCCTGGGCCCAGGGTTCCCAGCCTCAGCGTAGCTAGCCGAGCAGCCAGGCAGGAGGAAGAGTTGCTTTTACACACACACACCAGCCCTGCTCAGTTTTAAACACTTTGGCTCACTGGAAGCGTGAGCCAGGGGTATTGGGGGCTGCACAGCCAGATCAGGGGCTGCATGGCCGCACAAGCACTGCCCTGCCCACACTAACCTTACTCCACTGAGGAGCAAAAGTCTCAAACCAAGCAAGTGCTTACTGTCCCCTTCCTTTAAGGCTCCTAGATTTTAACAAAGATGCAACAGGAAGGGTAAGGTAACAACCTCACCTGGCCCCATTAAACAAATCCTGTGCAAGGAAAGCAAGAGCTGTGACTGTATTGAGGCTTTGAACCTGCCTCCCTCCCTTTCAGCCCCATGGGGTGAAGGCAGAGCAGATCCACTTACAATGCTCAGATTGCACCGAAGTTGTACCTCAGACAGAAGCACAGCTGGCCCAAAAGCCCTTCTTGGAAAAGCTAAAAAAAAAACAAAACAAAACAAAAAAAAAACCAAACGTAAATGAAGTTCCCACAGAACTAAAGTAGGATGCGTTCAAACCAGACAGGAACCCCCAAGATAACTAGGGCACGCTCCAGCCCCGCCTCCCCAGCCAGTATCGCACTCCTCCCAGCCTGCTGCCGCATCTATCTCACCCCCGCAGAAACCTACCTCCACCTCAGCCCTCCGCCAGCAGGGGCCAAGAGCCAACAGGAGACAGCAAAGCCCTGGAGGCCTGCGGCCCCACAGAGAACAGCAGGCGAGTGGGTCGTGCCCTTCCCTTTCAGACACCGTAACCTCCCAACCTCTGCCGTCACCACCACAGGAATTAAGAGTTCATGATTTGCAGTCCCAGGCAGCGTCCCTCGTCAGCAGCAACATAAAGCCCCTCGGCCCAGCCAGGGCTCTGCGGAGGTGTTTTGTCTTCCTTTATTCAATCCGGACTGCCACGAGGTCAGACAGGCAGAAAGCGCAAGGGACCCGTTGCTGTTGCATCTCGGCAAGAACCAGAGGAGCAATGGCCAGTTGCCCCAGGTCTGCCAGATGCATTTCCTAACTGGGAACAGCAAGTTACAAATGCCCAGGTCAAACTCAAGCCCAGCCACGCTCCTGCTTTGCGGTAAGCCTAGGACAGGGCTCAGCCCTCCCAACATGGCCCTCCCCAAGTAGAGGAAACCCCAAAACCCTGCAACTGGACCAAGTCCCAGTTAATCTGCTCCTGAACAGCTGTCAAAGACAATGGAGCTGGCACCACAGCCAGGCAGTGTCGGAAAACCTAGCGATTCCACCCTCTCCCCAGTGTTCCCAGTACTGAGGCTCAGAGAGAGTGCTCCATCCATCCCATCTGATCCTGAAGTCACGCTACAACTGAGGACAGACTCAGAGATCCTTGTCTGACAAAGAAGCTCAGCCAGCACTCAGCTTGAGTAGCACATACTCCACTCTGGGTTTGGGTTTTCAGTTGGTTTTTTTTTTTTTTAAGTTAATTTTGGTGTCTCCTTCAGAGAAAAGTCTCTGTGCAATCATGACAGATGAAAGGTTGTCCCCTCCATTATGATGACTTCTCTTGGGCTTTGCCTCATCGCACTCCAATGCCACAGGCAGAAACTGGATGAAGCCCGTCGGAGACAGTCAAGCTGCAGTGCGATAGGACCAGGCCACACCACTGACACTACCAAACCCGTGGACAAACACATTGCTGCAACCTCTCCTGTAAGTCACCCTAAGAAACACACTAGACCAAAAGGTATCACCTAGGATGGGTTTAAATGAGTTTTATTTTAGACAACCTACATGACAAGATGTTTGGTGGTGTGTTTTTTTTTTTCTTTTTTTTAAAACAATGCCTCCACTCCAAATCAGGGTCAAAATAAGTGAATAAAGCTCAAGATGACATCAGTCCAGTTGTTAGACATTGCCGATTCCTGGTGTTGTGCCGATGAAGAAGAAACAGCAGCCAGCTATGAAGACAGGTGATCCAAAACCATACCGTTTGATTCGTTACTGAAACAAGAGCAGCAAGTGTTAGCTCAAGGTCACGACAGTCAGGGCGAGTTCCCGCAACTCATTCATGTATTCCCCCATTCAATCTGAGCTGCCACAGTCAGGCAGGCAGAAAGCGCAAGGAAGTTATTTTTGCATCTTAGTGCAAACCAGAGAGCAACAGGGAAAGTGCTCATGGTCTATCAGAGGATGCTGATCGTTTTTACAGCCGCACGCAGCAACCGGCACCAGCTGCCGCACAAGCCAGACTGGGTGCTCGCTCCCACCCCTTTTTGGTTGACGCCCCAAGTTTCAGATTTCCTCTCAAGTAAGAGCCCATCTCAAAACAAGTCCTAAGGCTTACACTTACACGCTGTCTCTTACAAGAGCTGTACCAAGAAGCTGGAACGTTTTTTTGCCCACTGGAACACCCTGCCCCTCCTACTGCATCTTGAAGTTACTGAAACCGTCTGCCCAAGCAGGGGAGACGCACACGAGCTTCCAGGTACCCTCCAGGTGACCGACTGCTCTAAGGGCCAGGACAGACACCGCCCTTCAGCCAAGGCACAGGAGGTGGTGGGTCTGTTTTGGCCCCTTTAGTCGGGCTCTGCTCCGCACCACAAGTTGGTTCATCTTTACATGACTTGCATACCAGACAGCCTGTAAGAGGCTTTACAGACAAATTTAGCTGGCTATAAACGGACTTTCTAAGTCCACAATGACTGGGCAAAGCAATTGGTGATCCCACACTGCTTGTCTGCAGTGAATTCCATGGCTCTCCAAATAAGCCAAAAAATGTAAAGTGTTGGGATCCAAATGCTGTTTCGTTCCAACGTGGAGTAGCTGAAGATAAAGCAGACCACAGGGGCTGAGCTCAGGCAGTTGGAGATTCCAGACAGAATAAGGTGAACTACTCTGTCAAGAACTGCCACGTTCCCAGATTTAGGGCGATAAATTAAATACACTGCAGACAGTTCGTGCATAATGAAATAAGGGCACCAGATTAAGGGGAAGATGGAACGTGACCATATAAGGTACTTTAGAATTAACCCCCGCAAGAGGATTCCAAAAGTGCTCCATTTCAGAGAACGTTGCCTTTAATCTAACAGTTTAAAGCCGTTACCCATCACACACATCTCACCAGAGCAGTTCTTTCTGCATTTTAGCCATTAAGTCACTGTGAATCATTGCAGGGAAACTACGTCCCCTTTCAGTATAACTGAAGAGCAGACAAGGGAAGGTCCAGCCACTTAGCCTAACACCAAGCAGCCATTAGGCTGTACTCACATGAACTTTTAAGTTTTTAAACCAGCAGCTGCTGCTCACCTTTAACAGGGATAGGACAGAACAAGCAATGCACTGAAAGAGCTGATCATGTATCAGGCACATTCACCCTGTTCAGGTCAGTACTTACACATTTCTCAATTTCCAAGCCGTCCTTAAAGAAAATCATATATGGGGTCACGCCATCCTCACGGAAATCCAGGAGCGCCACCATACCATCTGGATTCATGTTCTCTCCTACAAAGAACTTCAGAGAAATGTGGTACTCAGACATTTAATGATCTATTAGCAGGAGAAACTGCCTTTTTTATACAAGAAAGCTGTGACATCTGTAAGTTCAGTTTAAAAGTCTCCCTGGCCAGCTGCAGGGATTTTGCTCTCTGCAGCTTGTCCATTTTAGCCCCATGGAACTTTACCACACTGCTATGAACAACAGAGTAAGACACAGCAGGGGCCAAAGTGATCCATCTTTCAAGTCTTTAACTTCACGGTTCCTAAATGGTGCCAACTACACACACAGCTAACTACAAGCGTTATAAGCCGAAGTGAGACCCCGAACACCTGGAAGTCTTTTGCTATTTCTCCTCCCTGAGTCTCACAGCCCCTCACACTCTCAGAGCAGGGCAAGTGAGACGTCCTCACAACAGGAGCCCTCAAAACTCTCAAGGACCTAGTTCAGCAGATGAACCAATCGCAGCTTGTATCACTGTGATAGTAATGTAAGGAGATACAAGTTTTATTACCTGGTAGTTTTTGAAGTTAGCAAGGATGTGTTTGATTTGTTCTGCAGCCCCTGTCATGAAAGGCTTTACTCTCTCTGGCTTGTGTTCCTCAAGTCTGGCTTTGATTCTGGAAGGGAAGAAAAAGCTCTGAAAACACGTTCCAGCTTAATAAGTTCACTGTGCAGCATCACATCATAGCAGAAAGCGCTATTAGGACTCAAACTGGTCGATTTTGCTGCCTTCCCCCCCTCTCTCCCTCTCAAAGCTCCCAAATTTTAAAATTAATTTTGGTAACAAATTAGCAGAACAGTGCCTGCCACTCATATCAAGCTCATTTGACTTCTAGGCTAGTGGTAGAGAAAAATTAGCAAGCCATTTCCAAAGCACCAAGAATACGATCTATCAGTATCACAAAGCATTTTCACCTTTACTACTAACCCACTGAGCCACAAGCAATAGAAATTATACCTTGAATTAGCAAAAAAGTTCCATTCACGCACATTACTTTTGGACATTTAAACTGTCAAGTTAGAAAAGCTTCAGGAAGCTTTTCTTCATCACCTCACCCCCCTTCCACATGAATGTTTGGCATAGAGGAATCCAAAAGAAAACAGAAAGGTTACAAATAATATCCAAAGCACGTGATCGGGTCCTCTACCTCAGCCAAGATAAACTTAGATATTCCAATATCAATTCTTCAGAGCTCCAGCTTTGCCAAGTATTAAGACATTATTGATATTCACAGCCAGTTTGGCACCTGTATCAGAACTAACACCTACCAGGAACAAAGTTCAATGCTGTTTTTAAAATCTCAGTGACCTAAACATTTTGCAATCCCATTTAAAGAAAAAGCCTACCAACACTTACGCTTTCATGTAGTCCTTGATGTACTTCTTGTAGGATTCTTTTGTAAAGCTGGTTTCCTGAAGGTGGTGGTTTATTACTATATCAACACCAGTTATGACCGTGGCTTCTGTTCCATCTCCCTCAGGACCTTCAGCAGAGGCATTGCCACCAATTAGAGAGTCATCAATTTGACCCTCTGTCCTGGTGACCATCTAGATTTAGAGACATCAAAAAACTTAACGGCTCTGCAAAAATCTTAATGCTACCGCTCTTACACATCTATGACCTGACAGCAGGGCATGACTTCAGAGCCACAGTTAAGTGCAAGGAACCTGACTGCAGCCCGAACGCAGATTTCTTAAGCCAGGCTCCTCTCCCGGTGCCTGACCAAAGCTTCCTTACACACCGGCGCTGCACTCCAGCTCCGCTGCCCCGGGCCCTCTCACACACCACTCGCAGCAGCAGCCGGCCCTGCCCTGGCCACACACGCACCAGGCCCTGGTGGGTGTCCCCCTCTCGGACCCCTCGCAGGGAAGGCAGCCCCCTCTCCCCAAACCCTGCCTCCACCG